AAGAAAAGAAAAATGCCATTAGCATAATTATACCAGGTCAGATTTTCTCGTTCGCTATCGTGTGATATTTTTTTTTTTTTTTTTTTTTTCACTCGACTTTAACTCAAAGATTTATCCCAAGTTTCCGTTTACGCGTATGACGCGCTACAGAGTTGGATTACCCATAATATCGCGCCCAGGGTGTTAGCTACTTGGTTATTGCACTATACCCTGCTTACCCGTGCACAAAGCCATATAGTAATATTATTGGATAAATAGACGAACAACTTAATTATACCCACCCTCGTGGCCACTCTGTGTGTTACCGGCGCGCAGTTGGTTATTGCCGTTGCGTTGAGCCCCAAAGCGCTTGTGGGGCAATCGGCATAAATTTTGCACGCGAGTACACCCATATATACACACCTGTAAGCTTGCGATGCATACACTGCCTATGCTGTCCGCCGAGAAATTGATCCATTTCATTTACATTGTTATTACCACTGCACCTATGACAATACTTACTTGCACGTAATACAGGATAAACCCACTCGATGCTGCCGAGTGTGTGGTCACGCGTGCCCATATACCTTTTTTATGTAATACGTTGTTCGATAAACCCACGCTGATTATTACAATACGCAACAGCACCCACTCCCGCTTAAAAAGGGGACTAATTTTTATTACAAACTCCTGGGGTACGGGATCAAGGTTCATCGCGCGTAATCCCGTTTAATATACGCCCCCGCGCAACGCGAAAATCGAAGCGGTCTCTTCTCTACATGTATGTATACGGACACCACTGTTTAACCTCACACAAGCAGCACATTATTTTCTTACCCAAAAATTTAATCATCTTGCATGTACAAACGAACGTGTGTCCCGTTAACGCAATTAGCAGGGAGCTACGCTTCTGGTAAAAAGTTTAACGCTACGGAGCAAAGTTGAGCAAGTTTTATGCGCCAGAGAGTCTCCCGTATTTTCTTTCCTCTTCTTCTTCTTCTTCCTCCGGGGGGCGGAACAATGAAAAATTAAATACCACCGCAGCGCCAGCGAGGGCTATAATGAATAATAATGTACACAAAGGTGATAATCCCTTCAGGGACTCTCCGGGTGTAATTAGCAAATAAAAAAAAAACGGAGAAGCGGGGGGGGGGAGCAGCATATAATGCCCAGAGTCGGAGCGCGAGGGAGAGGAGCTTCTTACTGATGCAAATATTTTCCGCGGCGGCGCGTAAATAGAGTAGGGGACTCTTGGGAGGGGGTGAAAAGTAGAAAGAAAAATCATATAACGGGAAGGGGAAAAAAAAAAGCCAAGCCGGAGTGGTTGAATGGAGGAGTCAAAAAGGTGGTAGAGGGAGACGGAGTAGGCGCTGCGCGCACACTATATAGCGTATATAGACGGTATGTCCTTAATTCTCAAGTGTTCTGCGGTTGTCATCGCCGCAATGGCCCGTGCCAGGTGAGCTCCCGTTGTGTTTGTGTGTAATGCTCCTTCCGACCTCCTCTTCACTTATTTCGTGGGCCACGGAGATTAAAAATATACCCTTAGCGGCAAATGTCCCTTTGTGCGCGGTGTATAAAACCTACAGCTCGGGCTTCCAACCGTATACCTCGTCTTTTCCATTATTTATCGTGGAAAAATGACATACCTTTTTCTCGTACATTACATGTAGAACCACACCGCCACGTGGAATAGTATATGCGGGCGAGCTGGAGATGATGTTTGGGCAAAAAAATCCACGTGCACGGGTTTGCTGCTTTTATTTTGCAACGGCAGATTTGAGTGAGTTTTAATCTTCCGGATGGAGTTTTCGAGACCACGGAGATCATACTTTAGGCGGGTTTTTCTCAGGAATGTTAAGTATCCTTGTCATTTGGCATGTACATTTTACCGAGAGAGACGCGATTTGCATCGGTAGATCGGATTGGTGCGTTAAGCTGAAAGTCACGAGGGTTTATACGATACGATATTCATACAAATGGAATGAGGAACAATTGCTAGAGGGAGAATGTAATCGAGTACGAAGAACAGAAAAATATGATCTCTACTCCTCGCAAATTTCTCTTTCTCTCTATCGGGCTATTGACAAATCCATTTTTTTTTTTTTTTACGCCGATTGCTAATTGGGCGCTTTTTCGCAGACAAAAAAACCTCGACTGGACTGTGCAGCAACGAACGAAAAATACACAGCCAAAGCCCCTTTGAGAGCTGCAAACAAGTGGCCTTTTCAAAAAATGAAGCAGCATTTGCCGTTGTTGTTTCAAATGGCCTTTTTTGACATACACGTGCACACACACGCGTGTTGGTGCCAACAGGCTTCGTTTATCAATTTAAAAAGCTCGCCTTGCCATTGTTGAAAACACTTCAATTAAAAAAAAAGAGCCGGGGCGAAGGTGTTATTTTCTCCTCTTTTACCATTCACCCAGTGCAATAATGTAGACGGGAACCTGTTCTCCATAAATTCGTCGCGAGTCCATGGCACGGTAGACGTAATACGTGCAGAAGAGATGAGAGTTATCTTTGATACCGTTTATACTTGATACATGTACACACATGTACCATATACAGTACACAGTATAGTAACAGCAGTTGGAGACGACAATCTCGAAATTCCTCGGCGCGAATGTATATACTTACGCGTGCAAACAGACACGCGCGCGTGTGCACGCCAAGGGGAAAACCGAGAGTAACCTTTGTTCGGCTTAAAGCTACGCGAGGATGGATAGACCTGTCATTTTCATCTCGGAGTGACGCGCGCGGGTACGGCATATAGGCGCTGGATATTGTACGTGAGTCTCGTTATACATCGCGGGACGGGGGGAAAAACTGTCGAGTCGCCAAAGAGATAGCGGAGAATGGGGCAAAAATGGATAGTTCCGAAACAAAAGCTCCGCTCCGCTATTGTACGTATACGCGTATATGTGCACGTGTTGTAAAGGTACACTTAACCGGAAGAAGAAATAGCTATGGCCGTGCAAGTAATAATACTCGCCAGAGTCAGGGGTGCATGGGTACTTATATACATTCTTGCTATGCAGCAAGCTTCAAGTGTCAATTTCAGAAAAATATGTGCACGCGAGAGCTTGAGGATGACAACGGTATATAAATGTATGGTTCCTCGTTTCGCGGAAGCTTCAAGTATTCAGATCGGTAACTTACACATTTTTCAAATTTTTTTTTTTTTTTTTTTTTTTTTCACCTGAAACCCACAGTGTATTTCGACTGACGTTCCATCTGTCCTAATAGGCTCTAGTCCAAAACAGTGAGCTAAAACACACACGAACAATCATGGGTATGTCGAAAGTACCAAGTTGCACTTGTGGGGTTACGCCAACGCTCCGTGGGTCGGAACAGAGACCCTAAAAAGTGCACGACACAAAATTAAACTTTTTATCAGTACTTTTATTCATCCATGCACTGAAAATAACAACATTTACTTACGGCAGTGAAACCAACAGTTGGTTAACAAAAATTTGGTCTTTCTTTGCTTTGTGACTCGATATTAATTCACTTATGGCTTTTACATCAAAAATGGCACTTGTAATTGCTACGTAACTAATAAGACAAAAAAACTGGTTCTATGATTTCACATGATTACGAAACAGACCGTAATTTATGTGAACAACATAAATTTTTACCGCAAAAACAACTCGTGTGTACGAAATTAAACTCGATCTAGGTGTTTTCGTCTAAATCACGGGGCAAAAAGTCAATGGCTCGGGGCGTCTAGAGAAAACTTTCTGAAAAAAAGCACATGATGATTTTAGTTATTTGTGCAAAAAAAAAGCGTTGTATAAAATTCAAAATTGCAAAATTAATATTTTCTCGGACGAAATCGCAACACGTGACATCCCAGTGACAATATTTACACGTACCTTGTAACCCACAGGATCACCTACTTCATTTTCCAATATTGCCCCGTACGAGGTACAGCTGCCGATATTACAAGTTTCAACGAAACGATGACCCATGCGATATGTGAGTACACCTATACCCGTGCAGATTATAAGTGCACGTCATCACAGAGAGCACAAGAACGTAATATCTCCCCGTGTTTGCTCTGGTCTCACTGGAACGTGTAATTTCCTACAAAAAAAGTCGCACGAGCCTCAATCGAGATTCCGAAAACTCTCGAGCCCGGAGCGAGTGACGCTTTTTGCGATGGAAATTTCGTATACCCTTCGCACGCTGCTCCTCTTCTGCACGAAAAGAGCACCATCATTGATCTTTTTTTTTTTTCTCTCGCTCAAAACAGCTCCGAGGATGAAACAAGCAAAGTACTTGCGAACTCGTTCATTCTCCAAAGTCGACCCAAAAAGGGCACGGCTTTACCATTCCGTCAGCCGCAGCCCAAACGCAATTAGAGCAATTTCCTATTTTCCCCCCGAGCAACTCTCCGCGGCGCGGCAGCTGCTCTCGAGGATTCCACGTCGGGCCGTAAAATTCACCAACTATACAGCAACGAGTTTGCCTTTGTGCACTCGATCGGAGCATCTTAGCTTGCGATCAACTCGACAAGGAGGTGCCGGAACATCGCGTCTGAAAGTTCTCAGGGCAAACGCGGGCAAATGTGCTTGTGTAGTTGCGTGCAAGAAAATAAAGATGGTACACCCTTTCTTTTACATGCAAATATTTGGTAGTGAAAGAGACCGGCTGTCTCTCGAGACGTTGTTGTTGTTGATCGAAGGAGAGAGAGAAAAAAAAAAAATAGGTTTGAGCGATGCACGCCCTTTTAAATCGGACGCCTTGAGAAATCTCGGTGAACCCGTATGTGTTCCGGTAGGCTATAGGGGTCAAGTGGAGGAAAAAGGGGAGAGGGTGCTAGTGTGTCCTTGTGCGTGCGATGGTTACAACGGGCTGTGCATACAATCATCGGGAGGCGGGCGAGGCGAGGATTTTTTATTTGCGTTTCAAGGAGCAAAGAGAAATGATGAATAGTATTTCAAGACTCGGGTCGATTTATTTAAGAACTGTTGAAACGTTTTATTGTTGGTATCATCTCTTCGTTTTTTTTTTTTTGTTTTTTTTTCCATGATATAATTATACAACGTCGATACATTGTCATTGTGTTTTTACATTGTACTGGTGGGACAGGGGAAGGGTATTACATTACATTTCATGGCGTTATTATAATATCATCTCCATGCAGTTACATGTTAATTAATTAATGTCATCATACAAACAACGGATGGATATGTAAATGAACCAACAACGATTCGATGGCGAGTTATAGGGTCTCCCTTTTGTTTTGTTAATTTAGTCGAAAGTTCGCACCTTGATTTTTCCCGCACAACTCCAAAATCAGGGAGAAAAAGAAAAAAAGGACAAAAAACAAAACTATAACATCGTCCGTTCGTGCACACGCACACACACACGCACACACTTGCAAACAGGTAAACCTATACATGTATCTTCTATTCGTATGGAGTAGAGACGAACAAACAGCTCCACCTTCGGCACTCGATGCACGACAGTGTAACGATATACGTGTAAGTAGGTACTTGGGCATAACGATATAATTATGTACATCTAAAACGATATGGATTTCTCATCTCTTCTGGCGGTAGACGCGACAGCCAACACCGTCCTTTGATCATCAGCATCCCAGTGAGCACAGACGCACGCAAGCACTATATGGCTCACGTGTGAGCCATTCAGATGATCTTCCCGTCGCAGGAGCAGGTGGCCCGACAGAACTTCCTGCGCTCCCTGCCCTGCTCGGTGTCGCTGTCGCACAGCCAGCCAGGCAGGGTGGCCCTCAGCTGTTGGCAGTTGGCCCAGAGGTCGGCCCACTGGCAGGAGTTCTTGCACAGCTTGCCCAACCGGCAGTGCTCCCTGCAGCCCGAGCAACTCTCCCCGACGAGATACGGCTCCGACACCTGGTCGACCCGGTTACCGCTGCGAACACACGCGCCACGAGACCAGACGTGTAAGTGAGCAAGCGTCCTTTTTCGAGGATTATGGTGCGCTCGAGGAGATTACAGACAGGTGGGTGTGAAGAAGGAACATTTTTGGGCTGATCGAACCTTGTGACCTCAAATTTTGATGCAGGATGATGATGATTATATGTTTTTCAAGGAATACAGTATATTTGGTGGGCGTTTCATTTGGCGTTTGATGAAAAAATTATTCAGTGTGCGAGATAAATCCAATTTATCAAGGCTTGTGGAAAAAAAAATTTTTCAATAACCATTATTCAGGAACAACATTATTATACGTTCCATCACTCCAGCGAATTACCGTTGTAACTATGCCAATTGGTATTCATAAGCGCGTGTATATGTGTGTTAATAAATATCCAGTTCCATTACGTTGATTACACAAAACAAAGTTTGCTGATGTTGCATACATCACGAATAACTTTGTACACAAGCCACAATTAATAACTGCAGCTAAAAAAAACGGGAACTCTATTCCAGGGAGGAGGGGGGGGCCGTAAAACAAAATTGAAAAAAAAAAAATAATAAACCATCTGTTGCACGAAACACGTAACTTTTACAGCTGCCGTATACACAGAAATGCATCGTAGCGCGGTGTACACGGAAGGTGTAATCAATTCGAGGTGATCCATCGATAGTTGATTCATATGCCCGATTGGGTACCACTTTGCGCTGCGCAACATTGTTTAAAAGCAACTGGACGAACGGATCGGTGTACGTTTTTTTTTTTTTTTTTCGAAAAAAACATTGCACACGCAAATTGTAGCTGAAAGTCTGTACCCAGAATAGCTAAAACGCATGGGTATTGCAGCTCGGAAAATACGAATGAAAATAGATACCTACCGAAAAAAAAAGAAAAAAAAAAAAAAATTGCCANAAAAAAAAAAAAAAAAAAAAAAAAAAAAAAAAAAAAAAAAAAAAATCTTGAAAGTAAAAATGTGTAGACTTACGCGGGACAGTAGTTGCAGACGTAGCTGAAGTAGGGAACTCCGCGGGGTCCGCGTTTCCCGTCACATTGGGCCCAACCGCAGCCCACGTGGTGACTCGTCGCCCAGACCATCTGCGTGTAGTGGCCGATCTTGTTGAGCTCGTTGTGCTCCGGGGCTCCATACTCGAACAGCTCCTCCTCCGAGAACCACGTCTTTATCGCGAAGAACCTGCGATGGGAAATTATTTTTAAAAACCACCAGAGCAGAGGACGCGACAACACGAATTTTGTTATTTAATATTATCACGGGGTGCACCTATACGGAACCAGAGGGAATTCAAGATAGCCGAGACTGAGCGACCCAATTCTTTGAATCAAAGAAAATTTCTTTACCCTCATTCCGTTAAATATTTTCTTTTAATTGAAACAAATTTAGTCGATCCAAAAAAACATTTCGTACAACTAAATGAGATAAATTCGTAATTAAAAAAAGAAAGTTTTAATTTAATAAAATATTATTTTGCAATTAACTTATATTTTTTTACTCATAAGAAAATATTTAACGGAATGAGGGTAAAGAAATATTCTTTGATTCAAAGAATTGGGTCGCTCAGTGGAGAAACAAACAATGCCGCGCGATTCTTTCCGTCCCTTCGCAAACTCGAGGCTCTCGCGTTGGAGCTGAGCTTCATAGGAGAGGACAGGAGGAAAAAGACCCGATACGCCGCTGGCCCGTTGCCAAATCATACACGTATAAATAATTTATTCCCAATAAGTGCACGCACGTGTATAAAACACTACTGTAGCTGGCTGAAATGAAGAAAAAAAATAAACAAAAATCCGCTTCCTAACCAATTAGAGTTTCTTTATACTCTCTCGACCCGATGAGCATTTAATTTCCAACGATTTTCTCAGCCGGCCAGTCACAGTATAATACCGGGAACGACAGGTTGAGCGGGTGGAGAGGATTTTTCTGTTTTTCCCCGTGCACTTGACGCACCGAGCCGATCGCAAGCTCTGGCGGCCAGCCAGGACTCACTCTCTCTCCCCGGGATTTGGAATCCCGATGGCTCGGTCCACCTGTATGTATATGTATATACCAGCTGGGCACCGCAACTGGCATACATTCGCGGCCGAGATTAAACAACGCTATACACAGGGGGGAGGCAAAGGGAGATCGAGAGGGGGAGTGCACACATATAGCTGTTGTACGCCGGGTAGGGTCGATTTTGATGTATAATTTCTTGGAGAGGGCTCCGGTGGAGCGGGAGTTTGGCGCGGGCGGAAACGAAGGGGCATCAGAGAGAGAAAACGGCATCAAGAGCACTCGAGTGTATAGGTCAGGGATGCGGAGCCGGTTATTAGTGGCAATTAAGTCCCTTGGCCCCGCGTGGCTCGCTCTCCATACACCCCACTCTCCACGCCCACCTCATTCTCCGTATATAATGGATACCTTCTCCCTTGTTTTTCGTCCATCCGTATTCCCGATTCGGCACGTGTGCCCTCTGTCTTTCCGGGTTCGATACCACACACCGCGAACCTCCTCTATACGCTTCTCTCGTGCTCTCTTGGCGGAGATGGGGGTGAGTTCGACGGATCCCGTGACTGCGTGCACCTAATGCCCTCGAAACTGGATACATTTGATCGGCAGACCTGTACCTACTTTTCTCCGCTCCGGCTCTGATTACCCCGCGTCGAAGTACAACGCCACCAGGACCTTATCACGTGCCTCATTTTGTACCTCGGTGTATACAATATTACGTGTACCTCAGACCCGATAGTTACTTTATAAACATCCGCATGGGAGCATAATTATGTGGAGGAAATAATTCCCGAGGACTCGAGAGATACGAACGAGTCTTTGAAAGGGGAAGGAGAACTTTTGCCGTTTCGAAGGAGAGAAAAAGAAAAATGGCACAGACCGTCGTTATCGGTGCCACGACAGTGTGCGAAAACGCGCAAATGGAACAGAAAAGGAAAAGCAAAGTCGCTCGATGCTGCAGGTCAAATTAACACACCGCGACTCGGCCCCATCGAATCGACATTACCTGCGCTACGTGGATCCCGATGGGGTATACTTATAGTTGCTGCTCGAGGGTGGCCATTAGCGAGCCATTTGCGAATTTCCTCGCGTGGCGGGAAAGAGGTAATTACGGGAAAGAAGAGAGCTGTATACGTACCTACAAGCGTGGACGTGGGCGCGGAGGGAAAGAAAAGGAAATAAGTACGCGTGTATAAATTGTACGCGAGTATGGACACTTACCATGGCACCTGCGCCGTCGAGATGAAGATGTTTTGGCCGCAGCTGCCGAAGGCGTCGATGTGCAGGCCCGTCGCGTTGTCGTGCGTCAGCGCGTAGCATGCCTCGGCCCACTTTTGCGCGGCCTTGGCCGCCCCCGAGTGCCACTTCTGCGAACCGAAACGAAACATATTACCTACTTTCTCAACAATGCGTATACCTATGTACGCCTCTGAGCTTTGGGCGTAATTAATGATGCCCAGTTGAAAAATACAAGTATACAATAAAAACAAGTAGTCGATGTGTTGCTCCCTACTTTTTTTTATACAGGTATTCATCTACGTTTCTCATTTCTTGGGCTCTTTTTGCAGTTAGGGCCATTTGGCATTGTTGAACGGGGGAAGGGCTTCCGCGTTTTAGGAGCAAAAAAAAAAGTAACTTTTGTTCGTTTGCTAGAGAGATTTTTTGTACTTCCCGAGGATGGACGAGTCGATTGTTTTAGATTGTTGAGAGAGACAAAAACTCGGATGCGCGGCAAATGGGTTTATCGGGCGTATACGTATAATATAATATGCTCGAGCGATGACATTTATTATACAGTGAAAATTACGAGAGAGGCGAGGCGGAGCATAAGACAAACTTGAGTTGTAAAATTAGTTGGTTCGTTATCGCGTCGCAACCGAAGGTATTATATTTTAAGCTTTGTCTATTTGCGTCACTCGAGTCCTGCGTACATGTAATAGTTATTCATGATGTATACAGGTATTGTACGCGCGCTTCTAACTAAAAGTCGTTTTTCCTGTTAGGTTCGACATGTAAAAGAATTGGCTTCAATTGGAAAATTAAATGATGTCCGATTTCTCTGGCAAATCTGTCTTTTCACTGTTTATAGATACAGTAAACTCGTGTAGGCAAAGGTTCGATATCGGGGGATTAATTTTACCTATCGAGGGTCCGATGAAAAAGCACTTTGCAAAGAGTAGTTAAACGCAAAGTGTAAAACGCGCGAGTGAAAACTGCAAGGGCGCACATACTTGTATATATTCACCGGTTAAAATGACAAATCCGGAAAGTCAAAGAGAAGTGCGGTAACTTAAACTTACACGGGTACCACCACCCCCCGACTGTAGATTTTATAGCTCGCCCCAAACGTGGTTAGAATCGCCGGAATTCGGGGACCGACTTTATGCCATTCGTATAAATTCCTCGGACCTTCTCTCCCCAGGGGTTTCGTAAATTACACCTTTTCGCGCACCTACACGTTATACTTACGCGCGTTCTATCCATATTTGTAAACTTTGAAAGAACAGAGGTCAGCCGAGCGAAACTCCTCCCACAGCCCGAGATACGAAGAGGAACGGAGACCAGCTTTCCCCGAAAAGTTGGCAAATCTTGGATACCCAATTAAAAGACGAAGCGAAGTTTTAATCAACGAATTCACTCTCGATGAAATATTGTGTATACCTAAACACGCCTCTATGGTGAAACGAACGCCCAGAACCCCAGGAACAGCAGTTTATATATAGGTACGAGCGATAAAAATAATCGAGCTTTCCTCGGCTTTTGCGACTGTAACGGGCATTTATTGGGATCTACGGAGGAAACAACTTCTCAACCTGCTGGACGGGTGCACACAAATATACATGTATACGGGCTCGAGTTCTCGGGAGCGTAATATACCGCCACGAAGGAATCGGGGCCGCCTCCTTCTTACGCGAGTATTTCCATGCGAACGCCGATGTATATGGGCCGATTGAGAGTATGTATGTATATATACACGCGGAAATCGAGGGTAAAAAGGTCATGCTTTTTATTTGTCGCGTGTTGTATATATGTACAAGTTAGTGAGGTACGAGTACTACGAGTCGAGGGTTTGAAAAATAAAAAGTAAACGAGCGACGCGAGGCAAAAGCGTTTCCTTTGACAAGCCTTATACGTGTATATACCTGCATGCAGGTGTACCCATACTCGGGTGTAGTTGGCGAAGCGCGATAGCTTTGAGTCGTCTCCGACATATAGTAGCGCATAAAGGGCATAACTACTTTTAGTTGCGACTCTGCATGGAATCCAGGCGCTCCGGTGTACCAAAGTCATGCAGTTATTTCCATTAAACGTGCGCATTTCCTCCGGAGGTATCACACGAGCCCCGATGGCTCATGCACACACGTGCACGAGTTTGAATTAACGAATGGAACTCAAACGCTATTGAACAAACTTTCATGTACGTATATGTTTGAGGTACACGTGCTCAATAATACGTGGTGCGGGGTCTGCGAGCTTTAAAATCGAGACCACTCGCGTCGATTCTACCGTTGTCTCGGTCAAAATGTACAACATCCACGGTTGCATGTAAGGTAGTAAAGTATACCTATAGGTACATGGTATATGTATAACAGAAGAACAAGGAAGGGATGACTTACCATGACGAGCATGTTGGCGGCCGGGGGCTCGACGCGGCTCCGGAAGAAGTTGTGATAGAGGACGATTTTTCTCTGCACCTTTTTGTCGCTCGGGTCGAGCACCCGCCTCGGGATCCTGTCGCCGTACAATCGGGGCACTGCGCACAAAAATCCATCCCCCATCCCCCGGCAATCGAAACTTTACTCCCCCGCTCGATCTTTTCTTTCCCTCCCCCTCTCCATCGGACCTGTACTTTTCTTCTTGTTTTTTGTTTTTTTTTTTTTTTTTTTTCCTCGTGCAGTCTTTGCTCGCGCTATCACTGCTCGTCCTTTCTTTCTTTCTTTCTTTCTTTGGAGATACGTGCGGATATTTAGAGCTACTGGCTCAACTTTTCGAGGGAAAAGTATCGGTTGCAGAGGGACGACCGGCAATCGATGTAGGAGGCTGTTCGCGCGGAAGGCCCCGCTTCCAAAAATCCCGAGTACATCACAAGCAACCTCCGTATACCCCGCTGGCTCTTATCCGCGAAACTTTTCCAACTTGCTTCCCGCGGACGGTCCTTTTTCACTCCCCCCCCCCACTGCACCTCCTACGCTTCACGCGTCGTCGTTTTCTTCAACTCACCCCTTTTTTTTCCACAACTTTTCGGTCCGTCATCACGTACAGGTATACAGAGATACATACGGTCTTTGCTCGAGTCAAATGTAATTCGCGAGAATCGGCCGATAACGCTCGTCTCCCTTTCTTTTTCCCGTCTCTCGATTTTGCGGAATGAGGTTACAATCGCGAGTGAGCGAAGGAAAAGCTTTTGCGCGCGGCTCCCTTAGCGAGTAGGACACGGAAGATTTTAATTAAATCGAACGGTTGGTCGGTAGGGAGTCAAAGGACCTTTGTGCGTTATGCGCTCGAGCACATTATGGCGTTCGACGCGTTTGTACACTTGTTTCGGAGTTTTTGTTGTTTTTTCACAGCCACGTGTGTTTTGATTTCCTTGAACGAAGAGGCCGGGTTTGTCAGAGGGTTTTTAGACGGAGATCGTTTATTCCGTTTATTTACGTTACAAGCTCAAATGGAAAAACATTACTCTTTGATGCGTAGTTAGAAAATGAAAAAAAAAATTTTAACTGCCTTTGAGAAAAAAAAAGAAAAAATTGTTCATCAGAGTCCTTAAGTTTACTTAAAAAAGTCGGGGAGAAAAAAAACAAGGAAGAATATAGCTCCCGTGAGCTCCTTAAATATACTTCAAGCTCGAACTTGGGAAGTATAATTGATAGTGTTCGCTTCATTTGACATCGGATAATAAAATACCAAAGCGGCGAGTTTAAATTCTTCTTTTTTTTTTTTCCCCTACTCCCGCACCTGAAGTCTTCCGTTGTAGAGGCGAGTGCCCACTTATAACTGGAATTAAACTGAGAGTCGGGCGATCGGAAAGTTTAATTAAAAAGAAAAAAAAATCCCCTTGGACTCATCCCTTTGCCCGTTCAAGTATAATCTCCCCTTCATTGAGGAAACGCACGAATCCGGAGCTTCATCCCTCGTGTAGCGCGCGTCCGATGGAGAGGCGCGGGAAACTGACAAACAACCAAACAAAGGCGTATACGCACCAGGCTTGTAGCGCTCCTCCTCGGTGAGGCGCTGGAGCTCCTCGGCGTTGGGTGTCGCCGCAGCCAGCGCGGCCGCCAGCACCAGCAGCCACGGCCAATTCATGCTACCCCGTGTGTGTCTAGTGGCGCGCGTTCCTGCCGGACACGACGTCCGCCTCGGATCGACAGCTGCTGCAATAAGAGAAACGCCGTTAGTGTAACTGGGGGTCGAAAGCTCGCTCTGGAGGTCCGTACCGATTGAGAGAAATTGCTTTTCTGTGTATACACATTTCCCCCCCCCCCCCGCATTTAGCTCGTGCAAAGAGAGAGAGAGAAAGTTTGATTGGATTTTTTCGTTTGGATGAAAAATTTTTTTATCCCATGGTTTGGTGTACGTATACGAATCTGATCGGTTGAATAGCACGAGCTTGCAGCGGGATACCGATACATGCGTACACGTGTACCGTGTGCCTTGTGTTGTTTGACGGTTCGTTTGAATGGCATTGCTGTTTTTTCAAAAAATGTAATAAAATACGGAACTCGTATTTTTGTTGTTGTACACGAAAGCAGATATTCTTTTTTTTTTTTTTTTTTTTTTTGGTACNGCAAACATTTTTGGAGCTCAATTAAGTAGTGCTTTATTGCGTATGCTTCAATTTTTTTTTTTTTTTTTTTTTGGGAAGGAAAATATGCTTCTTGACTCGCTTTTGAGATTTCAAACAGATATGGGAGCAGTACCTGCGAAGCAAATTTTACAAAGAATAAATTCCTTTTTCGGAACAAAGCGAGATTTTTCACTCTATCATCAAGTACATTTTTACTAGCATAGACTGTAACTTTGTGTAAACAATTAAAACAAAACAAATTCGTTTTAGCATCACTTGAACTTTGGTAAAAATTTTTACTTCTACTGTATACATTATACATTCCGATGTATTTTTGCTTTCAATATCGTTCGAGCTGTTGATCGTACCCTACTGCTCTAAATTCACCGTCCAATCCACGAGCGCGTCGTCATATCGCTTCCCCAAAACAAATAAAACACCCAAAGTAATTCGAGACACCCCCCCCCCCACCCCAACCCAAAAAAAGCACTCCAATCAATCAGACCAAAACTTTCGAGATAAATCAATACTCCGATTCGTCGGGCACATTTTCTAATCTCACGACCGATTGGATTGCTCGCGAGAAGGGGGGAGGGGAAAAATTGAAATAAAATGAAATGAAAAAAAAAAACAACAACTTGTCAAGAAGATTGATTGTCTTGTACACACACGCGGGCGTAACGAACGAGCAAACAGACCCGCGAAAAGGAGCATCCCCTTGGCGTCGTCGGAAGATCAACAATCCCAATCGACAGCCAACTAATGCAACTGCAATACATGCACTCCCAAAGAAGAAAAAGAAGAAAAGTGTAGGCGGGAGCATAGTACAGTCGCGCTGTGTAAATAAGTACACGCAGCTCTTCGGAAAACGCGCTCGGACGCCAATTCCAGGGGGCAAAAGGAGTTTTCGAGTCCTTAAACTCGCCGGAGTGCTCATGTACACAAACCTATATGTGATATCAAACAGAGAGAGAGAGAGAGCAAAAGCACAGCAACTGGAGCTTACAGGCGCACGGAAGCGCTAACTGCACGGGCACAAGTGGCAAGTACAGGGGGAGGCTTCCGAGGATGGAAGAAGGAGAAGAGATCTCCCATTAGAGGAAGGGATGAACCCCGGTTACTCGCGCCTGGAAAGTTTCGGGGCTGTAGCTACCACGAACGTATAGGTACGTGGTGTGTGCGCGTCCTCTATAGAGTCCCAGTCCTCGATGGGAGTCAGGAGAGTTGGATCCGGTGCGCTCCGCGTCCCTCCGATGCTCCGGTGTGTAACACGCGCGATGGGCACGGGTATAGGTAGGGCAGGTATACGTATTCATTGGGGCTCGAGGGGACACACCGCGCGCCAGGGGATGTAAATCAAAGCCGATTCGGTACAGCCGGTGTGTACCTATGTGCGCAAGCACCTAAAGCAGCTTCCTCATCTGTTTGTGCTCCATACTGATGCCGATGCTCTCTCTCCGCCGATCTTTGTGCATCGAGAAGCACCATCCGCGTTTCGGCATTTAATCACGTTTATCTCGATGCTCTCATCCCCTGGCTCATGCTGTGTATAAGGGTAGTGTATATACGAGCAGCGTTTCGTGTATTATCTGGATTCTCCCTCCGGCCAATCTTATGTGTAGTTGGGTGTATACCGGTATCGTTCTCTCGATCGCTCCCTTTTTTTTCGCACGCGCGTCAGATCCCAGCGTCGATGTGTACATATAGTCCGCGTGAATCTTATTTGCCTATAGCGTGTACGCAGGTGAGGAGGGAGGTGATATATATACGGTATACCTAACAGACTCCGTGAGCTTATTCTTTTGGGCTATCGAGCGCGAATTTATCGCGTTGTAACTATTACACGTGTACCAACAATACGGTAGAAATATTCAGTACAGCGAGTAATCGTTGTTAATTTCAAGGGAGGGAACGGTTTAATTTATCATTGTGTCGACTGACTTTAATTAATTTTTATATATAGTGAGAGAGTAAAAGATACATCGAAGCGCAAATTCTCGTAAATCTGAAGGTGGCATTTGGCACGATTGATGCATACATTTCGTGAACGAAAAACAAAAACCATTGCTCGTACAATAAGCGGGTTGTACATTATAGATAGTGAACGCTCAGGAAGTAGACACACATCACTGTGCGTTAGGAGTGGACATGTATTTGCAACCAGGTATATCTATATGCACCTTGTATATAATGTATCGTAACGACCGAACACTTTGCTCCTCTTCTGATTGAATACGTATATTTGCGCCATTCCTTGTACATGTCCACAAAAACGAGCCGAATAGAAGAGATGATCAATCGCGAGACTCCTCCCTCCCTCCTTTTTTTTTTTTTTTTTTTTTTCCTCGTCGATCCCGAGATAATGAAAGACGCTGATTGCACGACTTTCTTGTTTTCCGTGTATCGCCGCTTAGTTTTTTTTTCTTTTGCTTTGACAATTGAAAAGTCGATCGCGACCTCGGCAAAATTCGCAGTTGCACGGACTTTCAGCTAAAAGTTCTCCACTTGAATCAAACACAACTAACTCCGCTGTTATCGGCGATCAAGACAACAACCTCGCCCGCGATCACGATAATCCCGCCAAGCTGAAATTTCACCCGTACATGTATATGTATATACAAAACAATGAGTGGCAGTACGAATTAGTTTCCCAAAACCAAACACAATATACACGTATACAAATACATCGCGTTTCCTTCGCTCGTTACGATGAAGGGTCGGCTAATTGGACTTGATTTCTAGTTTATACTCGAGGAGCGAGCGAATCGCGAACTCGACTCGAACTCGATTAACTCGATTGCAATGATATTTCCGAGGTTAATTATATAATTGTGTGTGTGTGTGTCGAACGAGAAAGGAAGTATATCAGCCAGTGGAACGAGCGACTTGGGATTACCGGGGATAAAAACCTGTGGGTAACGATGTCGGGATATTTTTCATGAATTTGCAAAGAAGTAAATTTTTTATAAGCGTAAACACGAGGTAGCGAAAGAAGAAGAAAAAAAAAAAAAAAAAAATCCACCCATATCGCACAAACGAATGAATAAATAAGGTAGAAAGCTCGGTGTAGGAGCTCATGAGCGACAGATCCATTAAATGGATGAAAGAACGCACGTCGAAGAAGAAGAGAGCAAAGCCGGCCAACTTTCGAGCCTTTCAAAAACTTCCCTCGTGCCTCATACAAAGCCATACCGTATAGCTGTATATACTTATACGGCAGCAAAACTTTCTGTTGTTCTTGCTGACTCGATTCGCAGCGTATATAAGGCACCTAAGCGCAAGGAAGAAAAAAAAAAAAAAAAAAAATCTTCGATCATGCCTGTGAACACGTGGATCTCGGCCATATAGACCACATAGGTATCGTCGAACTCTATAATCGAGTTAAAAATTTATAACCATCAGTCTGTTTCGCGCCTAACTCGCACTGCCTTCGTTTCCGTTCCCTCGTCTAACTTTGGAGCAATTAAACCCCTGACGAGTTCGGCTCACGAGGCAGATTGTACCTACACGCGCACACACCCAAATGAACGGATTGTGAGCTTTTTTTTTTTTTTTTTTTCTTTCTTTCTCCCGCATCTTTGGCTTCATCTCCAACTCTTGATTTCAAAGTTGAAAATAAAAAAAAAAGTAAATGAAATAAACAATTATTGTTCGTTGAGAAATTAAAATCCAGGGTTCAACGAAATCCTTCATATATTATATCGCGTGTATGTTATTCGCACAAGAAAAATCAGTCACTTGTACAGCTTCATAGAAAATTTTACAAGAGACGGTACAACAGGCATTCAGTACGATAATGTGCTCTCTCTATCTCTCCTCCGCCGATCGAAATAATCCGCAATATCGGGCACAATACGTATATGTACTTATATAGGCATTCGGGATAATAGTATTAAAACCAATCCCCCGACGAATTTCCTCGATTTGCATTCATCCACGAGTACCCATATGAGTATACGCGTGCGCGAATCCATTGTACTTGAGCTATATTATCTATAGATGTATGATAGGTACAACGTTTTATTTTTAAATCCAAGTTCATAACGCACATTCCGCATGTACGCCTGATGTGCGGTAATGCACAACGCGCTGTGAGTTGCACCATATTATCCATCTATCTATGTATTATACTCATATACGGAACAACTGTACAAAGCTGTACCTGTATATATACCTACGGCACATTATATATTAGGTCCAGTGTATAGGCCGACGATCATTCAATTTTAATGGGTCATTAACACGCCGTATCCTTCCCTCGCTGCAGCTGTTGCACACGTATAGATCCGGCATTCGCGCCGACGCGAGAGGACGCGCGTAATTACCGATAACGATTAGGATCGTAAATCCTCGAAGGACTCGGAGAGAGAGAGAACCGATGCTGACCCGATGCCTAATATATATCCGTATAGCGGATGAAAAATTCAACGAGCAAACTCGCTCTCCCTCGACCGGTGCGTGCGAGTATCGGAAATTTTCAGCTGCGCATAGGTGGATCGAACAGCGGTTGCACTTTGGCGCGGAAAAGGGATAATGGACGCGCACGAGGAAGTTCCCTTTTGAACATTTCGAGAGGAGTTCGAACGC